CTGTTATACAAGCTGTACACTCACTACTTTACATTGTAGCAAAGTGTCATTTCTTCAGTGTTGTCACATGAAAAGATATAATAAAATGTTTACAAAAATGTGAGGGGTGTACACACTTTTGTGAGATACTGTATTTCCTACTTGCTGAAGGGCACAGGTAGCTAAATATGGAATTTATTATAATGGGTTTATGTGAAGATTGTTTTATGTTCACTTAAATTAGAAGTTCTTTTTTTAAGTCCAATAAATGTTAAAATGCATAGCTGTCAATTATACTGTAGTGCTGAATGGCTATAGTCATTGGTTAAATATTTGGAAAAATAATTCAGATATCAGTAGAATTGGCATCAGTGATACCTGCCTTCAGTCATAAAAAAGATGCCATTAAACAAGTATTAAAAATATACTTTGTTGTTTCTACATTAATTTGAGGATTGAATGTGAAATAATTGCAATATAAAATTATATTTAAAAACTTAATGTTAGGTGGGATTAATCACGATTAATTTCATTAAAAAATGTGTGATTAATTAATTTTAATCAACAGCACTAGTATATATAAACACACACACACATGTATGTATTTAAGAAATATTTTGCATATATATATATTACATACAGTGCCCTCCATAAGTATTGGAACAGTAAATACAAAATTGCTCTGTTTGCTGTGGAGTCAAGACATCTGCAAGTATGATTAAAAGATGACAATGAGACAAAACTACAGAATGTCACATTTTATTATTGGGTGTTTCAACACAAATGTTTTACCAGCTAAGAAGATCAGCACTTTTAGAGTTCATCCCACTATCTGATGTGATAATAAATATTGGAACAGTTGCCTCACAGATCTTTCTGAGTGATAAGCTGTGTCCTGCTGCATTAATTCTTCAGATATTAAAAGCAGGGAATGTGTCGTATCAGTTATACCCATTGCTTCTGCATTCTGAGTCTTGCAAACGATGACGACACACACAAACCAGGATGAAGACGAGGGAGCTGACTCTGAGAGAAAAGCAAGCAATTTGGATGCTAAAAGAAAAGAGGAAGTCAATTAGAGTTACAGCAAAAACAACGGGCATGGAGAAATCAAGAGTTTGGAGACCACCGGAGACATCAGCAGCCAACAATGACCTGATCAGCTGAGAAAAACAAGAGTAGTTGATGACAGATAAATCATAAAAACTGTGAAAATGAACCCTAAAATACGTGTCTGTAAAATCATCAACAACCTCCAGAAAACTGGGGTGATGCTCTGACAATCTACTGTCCACAGGAGACTTTGACACAGAATTACAGATGCTACAAACACAGCAAGATGCAAACCTCTGACCAGCAAAATAGAAAGGCAAGATTAGAGTTTGCAAAAGCCAGTAGAGTTTTGGAACAGAGTTTTATGGACCGATGAGACAACGATTAACCTTTATTTAAGTGATGGGAAAGCAAAAGTGTGGAGAAAAAGGGAACTGCAAATGATCCTAAGCATCATTTCCAACTGCATCTGGGATGTGCAAGGAATTAAAAGCCAGTAGAGTTTTGGAACAGAGTTTTATGGACCGATGAGACAACGATTAACCTTTATTTAAGTGATGGGAAAGCAAAAGTGTGGAGAAAAAGGGAACTGCAAATGATCCCAAGCATACAGCCTCGTCTGTAAAGCATGGTGGATGGGGTGTCTCTGGAACAGGCCCATTCAATTTTATGATGACTTAATGCGTGATGGCAGTAGCAGAATGAATTTGGAAGGGTACAAAACCATCTTGGCTACCAATATTCAAGAAAATATCACCAGACTCATCAGAAAGCGCTTTATATTGCATTGGGACAATGACCCAAAACACTCTGCCAGTTCAGTCAAGGAGTTTATCAGGGGGAAAAAATGTAAAGTCTTAGATTGCCCAAATTAATCTCCAGATTTAAAACCGATTGAACATGAATTTCACCAGCTGAAGAGTAGACTAAAGGCAGAAACTCCCCAAAACAAGCAACAGTTGGAATTGGCTGCCTTAAAGGCTGGGAAAAGCATTTCCAAGGATGAGACCAAGAGTCTGGTGATGTCTATGGGTCGCAGACTCACTGCTGTGATCGCACGCAAGGGATCTGCAACAAAATAATAGCTTTTAATCTTTTACATTTGCCTTAAGTTCAACTGTCCCAATACTTATGCTCACATCAGATAGTAGGATGAACTCTAAAAGTGCTGTCCTTTTTATTTGGTAAAACATGTTGAAACAGCTAATAATAAAATGTGACATTCTGTAGTTTTGTCGCATATTCATCTTTTAATCATATTTGCAAATGTCTTGACTCCACAGCAAACAGAGTAATTTTGGCTTTACTGTTCCAATACGTATGGAGGGCACACTGTATGTATATA